ATTACATAAAATAGATCATTATTTATTGTTCATTGTTTAGGATGAAAAATGTAATCTGTTTACTTTTTTGATTAAGGTTGTTGCTTTTTCTGAAAACATCAGAGGATTCGCTTAGATAGCTATCATTGATTAAATAACTGTTAACATTAGGTGAGATGGCTTTGTGGACTTTTCATTATCTTTTGATATAATTAGTCGTGATACTTTATTACTCAAATGAAATTTTAACCAATTTTTCACTTATCGGAATACAGACTGAAACCTATCAGCCTCCAAAACGACTCAAAGATATAGCTTTATAAATGTTATAAACAGTCATCTATAAGGTTGCTCAGCATAATCTGTACAATGTATGGAAAGATAATTGAATGTGCCGTAAGTTTCTCTACATAATAAAACAGTTCCTTGGATATATTTTATTGTTTGACATAATGTTATTTGTTTATTTTATGGATAATTCTGGATGTTAGAAAACCAGTCTAACATTTGAGATATTTGTTACTGTTGTTTCTGGCCAAAAGAACCATGAAATCTGTACGTCATTATAAAAACATAACCCCTATTATTTTGTGTTCATTCAAACAGTAAGTCTGTCACTTTAATTGTGTACTTTTATAAACAGATTTGTTTATTTGTGATGTGATAAAATCATGTGAGTGCATAATTGGAGGTAAACATTTTCGGTCAACTGTTGTTAAATGATCTCCGTTTTTATCAGTTATGTGCAGACTTAAGAAAACTTGGGTTAGAGTAGCACAATTTTTCTTTTTAAATTTCCTATTTCTCCACTTGACTTGAATACAAAAAAAGTAAACGATCTGATTACCTCAAGTTTTTCCAACCTTCTTATGAACTGTACATGCTCATGAAGTTGAGTGAATAACTGATACATTAGTTTTTAAAACCGCCTTAGCCTGTGAGGGATGTAGGATACTGAACTACAATAAGTCATGCAATTAGAAAAGTTACATTCTAAGGTGGATAAAATGGTCTCCAGAAAAAAAGAGAATGTAAACAAGTGAACGATCGATAAAAAATCCTGATCTAATTCAGCTTTTTTTAATGTGAAGCTTATCAGCAGAATGTTTATAAAAGCGATAGAAATAAATATTAAAATCTACCTTGAAAGATTACTGGTATCACAATTTCATATCACGAGCTAACAGCAGCTTGAGAAACTGATAAAAATGTAGTAGCTGGACAGCTTAAAGGATTAGGTTGTGTTTTTATAATTAATAATCTATCAGGCCATCAGGACTCAGTCAGTGAGTGGATAATGCGGTGGTCTTTGAAGCAAACGATATTGGGTTCAAGTCCCGGTGTAAAAATCAAGTCTAGGATGCAGGTACGTCCAGCTGAAGAGTCCCAAATAAGAAGAAACGCACATCCTGGAATCCAATGCTAGCAACTACCCATCTTTGCTTATATTAATAAACTTTGTTTATTACTTGAATGTATGAGAACAGCGTTATATAACAAATTAACTGACATTTGGCATGTTATCTATTGAATTCCTATGCAATCGATTACTTGGATAATATTTGTCGCAATATCTATGTTATGAGGTGTTTTATGAATTTTTTAAACATACATCATAGTTTAGTCCCAAATTAAAATTAAACAAGTCAGGTAATGAATGTGAATTGACAACAGATCGTCATAAAACCGGTATAGTAACTGAAGCAATAATATTGTTTGAATAATAATAATGTCAATAAATGAAACCATTTAGAAAAAATTTTCTCTGCTTTCATTGTTCCGAAATCTAGAAGTTAAAGTGTTTTGGAATTGCCAACAACTTGGTAGGCAAACCATAGATTTATGTATATATATATAACACAATGTATGTGCTAGCATTAGTTGTTCTTTCAACTAATGCTTGTTGCCCTTTCCCCGTGGAGAAGCATAGGTCGCCTATCAGCTTTTTCCATCCGACTCTGTTCTGAGAATTTCTTTCCAGTTGTCTTCAGTTGCTATCCATCCTTTTCGTGTCTTCTTCCAGTTCTCAGCACAGTTTGTTCATTGATGTTCCTCTTTTCCGTTTCTCTTCAAAATTCCAAGTAAGCGCTTCACCTTTGGTGCAGTATGATGATTTCTGTGATGTATGTCTTATCTACTTCCATCGTCTTTTCTTAATTTCCCCCTTCATCTGGATATTGGTTTGTTCTCTCCCACAGTAGGTTGTTACTGATGATATTTGATCAAAGGATATTGAATATCTTGCTTAGATAACTAGAGAAAATGTTTTATAAGTCCAATTTTACATTTTCATAGACATAAAACATATGATTATGCCAAATAAGACTAGAATTATGTGATTTTTTCCTAAAAACGTTTCCTAAGTAAAAGTAAATGTTAATTTAATTTTTTCTTCTTCATTTTAATAATGTGAATCTTTTCTTTTTCACTTTCATTAACTTTGTTCTACACCTTTATACAATTCATCTACAAAATTTTATGGAAAAAAGAACATCAATGAAAATTAAAGAGAAAAAAAAGTTACACAAAGACAGATTCCAATTCCTTGGGGATAATTTTCAGACGTTCATTCAATGAATAATGTAACTTTTTCTTTTAAAAGTGAAATAATCACACAAAAAAGTCATGCTTTCATCTGTTCAGAAAGGAAAAAGAAAACTATGTCTTAACTTTACTGTCAACAACAATTATGAATTGAATATTATAGTTTGGTTGTATATAAAAAAAAATTAGTAATTGATTCTTCATTTTCTAAGCTATTCGTACACAGCACTGATGTTTGAAAGATAAATTATTAAACTATTTGTGTATCTAATTCATAGTAAGTATATTTCAAATGTAGCGGACATGTTTTAATGATGATGATGAAAGGTAGTACAGATTTTAAAATGTTTATTTAATTTAATTGTAGACTTGTAAAAACTGGATCTAGTTGAATTTTAATTCACTGACATACATTGATTAGATTAAAGCTGCCTGTGTATTTCAATTGTTAGTTATTATTTATTTGACTAAAGATTTACGTTTATAGAACTATGATAGTTATTGAAATATTGTTTACTTACACCCGTTACCATCCTCTCTCGTGTAGAAGCAAAGGTCCATTAAACTCTGTCCTGAAAACTCCTTCCCAGTTGTTATTCATTCAATTTGTGTTTGGTTGCGATTCTCAACACAGTTTATTCTTTGAACTTCCTCTTTTCTATTTCCCTTTAGGATTCCAAGTGATCGTATGCCTCTTGGTGCAGTTTGATGATTTTCTCAGTGTATACTCTATCCACTTTCTCGAAATATAATATATCATAAATTCCCTTTCAAACTTTCATAGTAAATTTAACGGGTTAGTGTCAGTTGTGTTCATACATATATTATGTATTTGAGACATCCCTAACTGTTGTGTAATTTTATATGTGAATGATTCAATGTTGATTGAAATATTGTCTGACAGAATGAAAAAAAAAGAGTTACAGAAAATCTTTCCAGTTGGCGAGAAAAAAATACATCACAAATCTAGATTAACAGACTTCTGTAATCAATGGAATGTATCAAAGAAGTTAACCTAGAGTCAATACAAAACATATGTATACTTAAAAGTTTTGAAAAAATCCATTGAATTTAACTGTGACGAAGCTTATACAAGATAAGAAATATTAAATTAAAATAATGATATGTTATTAAATCTAATGAATATATTTTTATTGATTTCAACCACAACAATATCCACTGTTGATCTATATCAAATGTAATTAAGGATTCTCAGGTTCTTCATTAATTATAACAGCATTTATTCTTGAAAAGCGATACCATGAGTCATCATCTTTCAGTTAACCACAAAATAAGTATTAATATCGGAAGGGGTTTCTGTAGATATTATAGTAATTTCAATAGTTGAGATCATGAGCCAATTGAAGCTAGACCACCATGGAAAACCTGAAAGCACTCGACGACTGTTTCGTCCTATTGTGGGACTCCTCAGCGGTAATAAGTATTGACAATTCCATGAATTCCATCACATTTGAAATTAAAGTCAGCTTTCAATGAATATTAATTTCAGCAAAGTTAGATTTTTAAAAAAATCGCTTTGTGACATAAGAGAATAAGCAATTAAATCAACTTCATTTTATTGATTATTTGAATATTCTATTCGTTGTTTAGGACTGGAATTGATCAGTCTCTTGTTTGCATATGTGCATCCTGCACGGATTGTTTCAACACTGTTGTTGAGTCATAAGAATCGTTAAGAAGAGATGAATAGCTAAGTGGATAATGCGATGGCGTTCGTGACGAACGGTAATAGGATAAAGTCATAGAGTAGATCTTGGGACAGTCGTTTGACGAGTCCCAAATAGGACGAAACGCGCGTCCTGGATTCCACTGATGGCTACAACCTATCTTTGCATAAAATTCGAATCACTATTATACTATTGATTTAGCCTAGTTATTGTAGCTATATGCCGTGTTTTACTTCAGAGTTGACAAAATTGTTATTTTATGCTATTATAACTAGTTTATATGATTGTAGTTATTACTTTGATTGTTTCAACTGACTATACTAGCCTGTTCAATCTTCAATTAGGTCAATGAGGAGAAATAAAATACAACTAATAGAAAGTCATCATATCTTCTATTCAACCAATCAGGTTACATCTTTCTGATTCTGTTTTTTTTGTTTTACCTCAGAATTCTCTTACATGTCTATATTTGTTATCCCTTACCTATAATTTTATGTGCTTTGCCAAATAGGCAGCTTTTAAGATAAAATAGATAAATATACATTAAAATAGTACATTAACTTATTGGGGGCTATTTTTGAACTATTATTATTATCATTAATATTCATATCATTAGTTGTAACGTTATATAGAAATTAACGGATATTGTTTATAATCTTGCAAGGATTTATAACGAAATATATGGATAATTTATGTATGCACAACTCCTTATGGAAATCTTATTGCTAACATTACCATAAATATTGTAACAAGAACTATTTTCAATAATTATCTGTGAAGTAATCTTCTATGAAGCCTATGCTGGGTTCTTCTGCTTCAAGCCTCATGAGTGCATCGAGTAGTGGAAGCACTGGTAGTGCACAAGCCTCAGCTGGTCAACACACTATAGCAGCTACACTTACAGCTGTGCATAAAATGGATTCCGAATTACGTTGCCCATCTTGCAGGCGATTTTTCCAATGTCCTTTATTGTTACCATGTGGACATTCCCTGTGCAATTTATGCGCAGCTGGAGCTCTACTCCCCGCTAGCGAACCAAGCATAGCGGCATCGATTGCAGCAGCGCTGCACTTATCAACAGCTGAGACGTTTAGTCCTGCTAGTGGTCCTCCTCAATCCTCATCCTCGTCTTCATCGACAACAGGAAGTAGTATAGGTTGTCCCAGTACTTCTAACTCACAAGGAAACACACAAATTATGGGTTGTACTTCCAACATACCTTCAGATTCTGATCAAATGAGTGTTGTTAGCGAGACGGATTCTGGTGTAATTGTTAGCAGTCGACCAGGTAGTTATGTGGGAAGACTACCCGTTATAATATGTTCATCAACTTCAGGTTTAGGTCCGAGTCAAACCTACAGTATCTCTTCATCTTCAATAAGTCAAGTTTCAAGTGGCTTAATATGTCCCATATGTAACCACGTCGTTGGTCTTTTTGATGATAAGGGACTAAGTCATCTCCCGAGAAATCGTGCTCTTGAACGGATAATATCTAAATTTGTAGGCCCTGATCAATCACCTCATTCACTAAAATTGAGTGCAGACTTGGAACCATTTTTATTAAACAATAACACAGACCCAATTAATAGACCAGGTGGACCACTTTGCCAGTTATGTGAAGAACCTAATATCCCAACGGAAAATCCATTATCTTCAGAAACCAATAAAACTGAAGTGAATGAACAAAATTGTTTAGCAACATTTTGGTGTGAACAATGTGAAATATTTTATTGTACACGATGTCGTGAAAAATGTCATCCAGCTCGTGGACCATTAAATCGTCATGCATTACATTCAGCAACTGAAGGTGTAAAAATAATTAGACAAAAACAACGTAATCAACCTACACCATGTATGTCACACTTAAATATAATACCAAATCTGTATTGTGTTAATTGTCATATACCGGTGTGTAATGAATGCATAAGTAATGATAATTCACAAACATTTGAAACACATTCAAAACATGAAATACTTCCATTGATTGGAGTCTGTAAATCACGGAAAGTAAGTGTGATAATATTAATAAATCGATTGTACTACGTAACAGTTGGATATTTTATGAACACAGTATTTTCCAATTTATTTTTTTGAATTTTAAGCGTATTTTTATCAGTAGCTATGAGTGTTGAGTTTGGTGAACCTCTTTTAGTTTAAAGTAGTTTGATATATTTTGAATTATAATGAAAAAAAATGACAAATTATACCAGTTTGAAAATTTTAAACGTATAGCTAAGCAATTATTTAAATTTTAAAACATACAACACGAGTAGCTAAGCAGATGTTTTATATGATCAAGAAGTAATATTCTTCCGGAAATAACAGCTGCAATAAGCACCGTATAGTTATTTTTTCCCAGTCCACGACTCATCAGAAGCATAAAACCATAAAAGACAATTCTATTGGCATCCAAATTTTACGGTAACCATAAAGAAATATAGGTGTTGAAGCAGAAATACAACAAAAGTCAACAAACTAGTCAAATCATTTGATTCTGACTAAGTAGTTTAAAAGTATCATATTCACGAACAGACCTATATGTTACAGATTTAATCTTATGCTGGGTAGTCAAAATCTGATGACCCGTTTTTTCAACTTTATTTGACCTGTCCTAAAACTTATTTCACATCCATTCAGTGGTAACTACAATAGATTCATGAAAAATGAATATGATCTTGTTTTTCATCATAGAGGTTACCATCTAGTGATTCTTTTTTAAAAATTTTTTAACGTAATTACGACTTTAGTAAATATTTAAACAATATACTACTTATTTGAATAAACTTATTATTTTATACAAAAAAAGATAACCTGACTCAAAATTAGTTTCAATAAAAAAAGTGACAAAATTTCGACAAAATTTTATGTTCTATTTTCATCGATTTTCTCTTCTGATGATTCCACGATTTCTATTATATTGACTAACAAAACTTATGATTTTAAAAGTGAATGATAATAATTCGTTTTTTTCATTTACAAAATCACTATTTAATTAATGAATTACTTACTTTCGCCTGTTACCTTGAATGGAGGAGCATAGGCCACCTACCAGCATTTTGTAACTAACCTTATCCTGAACAATCCTTTCCGGTTCTTTCCAGTTGTTAATCATCCTATTCATAACTGCTTTCAATTCTCGAAGTAGTGTGTTCTTTGACCTTCTCCTTTTCCGTTTCTCCTCACGATTCGAAGTTAATAACTGATTCGTAATGTAGTTTGAGGAAAGCACCCAACTGCGTCACAAGACAAGCCCTCACATGGAATCCTGAAGGTCAAAGGAAAAGAGGAAGACCAAAGAACACATTACGCCGAGAAATGGAGATAGACATGAGAAAAATGAACAAGAATGGATGGAACTAGAAAAGAAGACCCAGGACAGAGTGGGTTGGAGAATGCTGGTCAGCGGCCTATGCTCCATTGGGAGTAACAGGCGTAAGTAAGTAAGTAATGTAGTTTGACGATTTCTGTGATGTATGTCTTATCCATTTCAACCGTCTTTTCTTCATTTCCTCTTTATCTGAAAGTTGGTTTGTCCTCTCCAAAAAAAACTTAATATCATGGTACATAATGAATAGATTCTACAATTTACTTAAAAATTCATTTATCTGAACTTTTTTTGTCCTAATGTTATCATTATAAGTTATAAAAGAAACTGAAGACTACTTTTATAATTCCATATGAATAACTTAAAATCAATCGTTTCTTTTGCATTTTCCAATCAAAATATCAAAACTATACAATTTTAATAAGAGGAAAGGTCAATAAAATATAACTATCCATTAAGTATAATCTGATATTTCTCTAAGTAATACATATCAGTTCATCTTAAGAGCGATATCAGTCATTATTATCATCAAGATTCATGATAAATATGTCTTATTTTTCGAATCGATTTCTGAAGAAATAAAATAATTGATCAAAAATTAACTTACTTTTTTTTCTTTCAACTTTCTAATTTTTTTCTGTTACTATTCACTTTTATAAAAATCAGACAAATGAATTACTAGACATAGATTGAATGTTCTTTTCACCTTGGACGACTGTTATCCTCTATTCATTTTTAAATGTTTATTGGGAAAAGTATTTTAGTGCATTTATTCTAGATCTGCATTTTTTTCGTGATTGTTAAAATCTGACACTTTCTAATCATCTAAAGTTTGCTCTGAATCGATTCAGCATCTTATTACTGGTCAAGGAAATAAGAATAAATATGGGAAAATTTATATATGATAGTTTTAGATTTAATTTAAACAATAAAGTGAAGTTGTTCATCTGAATCATTGGATTCCGATTTAGTAATCTAACGTTGCCATTGTCTATAGTGATTCATTAATGTCCTGACTTTTATCTAGTGTAAGGTTGTGTGTTTATGAATTCCAGTAAGGTTCCAAACTTGTGCAAAACATCTGTTTAGTTTTCATTCTTCATCGATGAATCTTCCATTGGTGTCAATTTATGATGTAAACAAATATAAAAGTAACCAACCCAAAATCAAACATCATAATTAATCACATATAACAAATGTACAGTATTGATATTTCTATAAAACAATGAGAAGATGGAATTGATCTGAAAAATGTGATGTATTCAAACAGTCTGATCACACGTATACTTGTCAAGGCATTTTATATGAAAATTATTAAAGGTCAGCTAAATGAAGGTTCATGTAAGCAAAGTAATAATTGTAAATAAAAGAGAGAGAAAAGAACTAACCTCGTATAGAAAGAATAGAAGATTGTCGCATTACCCCAGGCCATAAAATGGCATGAGCATTACCAGGGTAAATTCAAGGTTAGGACAAATTGACTTTGCACAATTACATCACGTTTTTCAGATCAACTCCGTCATCTCAGTGATATTTCTTATTTGTAGATTTGTGAATCATTCAATACACTGAAATTCATTGTTGCTTTATATGTATAAAATATTTTGCTATATATATCGATGTTTGCTTAATAAAATGCTATCTATTATCAATCTAATAATGGATAATTCATAGAGATATTCCTTTAATTACATTACATTCATTAAAACAACTATACAAATGAAGATATGTTAATCAGCAGATTGATTTTCTTACTCATAACTTTCAGTAAAGAATTTTAGATTTAAAGGTACCACCCAAACATTCGATTAGAATTCATATTATTGAGAGCGTTTCTGAACAATTACCTTCTTAATAAATACTATTAAAACAAAATAATTTTTATGTTAATATACTGACAAAATCAGTTTAGGGAAGTGACCTTAATGAAAAAAAAAGTTTTAATGGAGTTAATGCTTCCGTTAAAAAAACAATCTATATCAGTTACTATTCTATACCAACTATTGATTTTCTTCTACATAAGAATCCCCCCCCAAAAAAATGACACAGTCTATGAATGTTTAAAAAAAGAGGGGGAGGGGAAGCACATCCTGAAAAAAGTATCATAACGTTTCCATAGTTCTTTATTATACAATTTTTTAAATAAATTAAAAATGAATTTTGAGTTCAATTTTTTTCGTTTTATCCTAAAATTACCATAGTTTATCCTTATTATATTTTTAAGTCCTTATTTCGCATTAGAAAAAAAATTAGATTACGTCAGTGACTATTAGCTTCTAATATTCATGAATATCAATATTTCACTAAATTGTGTGATATTTTCTTCTGTCAGATAATGATTATCACTTGAAGTAATAATTATCTTTATTACCAAGTTTTGTATATTCGAAAAAGCAACTGATGAACATTGTTTCTAATAATAATAATAATAATCTTCTAGATTGATTTTTACATAACATAAACGTTGGTCACATCTTTTTTTAATACACAACATAATAGAGAATAGCTGAATTTCTTTTTAACGAACTATCGAAATATTTCTATAATATACTTAGTCATAAACTAAGAATTTTTCCTATTTTTACTTTATACAATGTTTCATTGGAAGAAAAAAACAAACAACCAAACCATAACAAAACACAGAACTGATAAAGTATGTATTCCGCTTTTTATTTTATGTAATGTTGATATATTTCAAGTATCAAGGGACATGAATTCATACTGATCGTTTTAATTCTATTATGAAATCATATTTTATGTGATTTTAGTATAGACAATGATTTATGTATATTTGCCGACTAGTATATACATATATAACTTCAACCATTGATTTATTAAAACACATCAAACTATTCAACACTATTATTAAACTGTATGAAATTAATTTTATTTCAGTCAAAGCTTATTTACTTATATATATATTCCAAGTTTATTTATGTATTTTCATTGACTAAGCAAGAAGAAACTGGCTTTTATATGATTTATTATGTAATACAGAAATTACAGAGAATTTTATTAGATATTAATATCTTTTTTTTATTAGATTTATTGGACATTACTTCAAATAATGTATATGCTCAGTTGGACACGAACAGCATTGTGAATATTTTAGTTTTAGTCGCTTTTATTAAATTGTTAACTGATGAAATCGTATTAAATTCACTTGATATTGTTTACTTGAATCTTCCCATTGATGTTTAAGACTGAAATTGTTGGCATATGTGCCATTGGGTCACAAGCTTTATAAGTAAAGATGGATAGTAGCTAGCAGTGGACGAAACGTTTATCCTGGATTCTACCCTGGGACTCGAACCCAGTATCGTTCGCTTCAAATGCCATTGTGTTACTCAATTAGCCACTGAGTCCTGATAGCCACCCGCTTGTGCAATGAGGTGAAGTTTTAAATTCATTTGGTGTTGTTTATTTGTAACTTCTCATTGTTATTTAGGATTGCATCTGATCAGTTTCTTGTTTGCATATGTGCATCCTGTGCGGACTGCCTTAATATTACCTTAGGTCACAATTTTATGAGCAAAGATAATGCGATCGCGTTTGAAGCGAATGTTATTGGATTCGAATCCCAGAGTGAACATCAACTCAAGGGATTCCGCTGCTAGCTACTATTCACCTTTGCTCTTAAAGCCTTTGACTTAAGGTAATATCAAGGCAGCTCACACAAGAT